CTCATAATGAAAATGCATGGATTGGGGAACCTAACCTTGATGAGACTGTTACTCATAATTGGGCCCGAGGAGCCCACGGTGATGTGATGGGTAAACTGCAAGCATGCAGAGTTGGGTTGCGAATTTGGGGGCGTGACTTACGTAGCAAGTTCCTTAAAGAAATTAAATTGCTTAAAACCCGACTTAATGGCTTTCGAGTCCACCAGCTCAGTGACAGTTCAGAGGAGTACTTTTTAATGCAAAAGCAGCTTGGTGATTTGCTTCTTAAAGAAGAGCAGTATTGGAAACAGCGATCAAAAATATTCTGGCTTGCTCAAGGGGACAAAAATACCAGGTACTTTCACTCCTCAGCTTCCTCACGTAAAAAATTAAACTATCTTCCAGGTATCCGGGACTCGAGAGGTGACTGGAAAAAAGAATCGAGGGATATGCATACTGTGTTTCTAGAATACTTCACTACACTATTTACGGCCACATCTGTTCAGTCTAGTCCTGTTCTTGAGCATGTTAATTCTCGGGTCACTGAATATGATAATGACAGTCTTATGGCCCCTTTTCTTGATGAGGAGTTTTGTTCCAGTCTTAGTCCTGTTTCTTGAGCATGTTAATTCTCCGGGTCACTTGAATATTGATAATTGACAGTCTTTAATGGCCCCTTTTCTTGGCTGAGCATGTTAATTCTCGGGTCACTGAATATGATAATGACAGTCTTATGGCCCCTTTTCTTGATGAGGAGTTTCGATCGGCGGTATTTCAAATGCACCCGGACAAGAGTCCTAGCCCTGATGGGTTCAATCCGTGTTTCTTTCAGAAATTTTGGTCAGTTGTGGGTTCAGACGTTACTACTAGCTATAAACGGTGGATTGCACATGGCTCTTTTCCTAATCTGGTGAATGAGACCACCATTGTGCTAATTCCAAAAATTGATAAACCTGAATTCATGAAAGATCTGCGGCCAATTTCCCTATGTAATGTCTTATATAAGATTGTGGCAAAGGTCTTAGCTAATCGGATGAAGCATGTCCTGAGGAAAATTGTCTTAATCGGATGAAGCATGTCCTGAGGAAAATTGTCTCCCCCTCTCAGTCCGCTTTTGTACTTGGGAGGCTAATTACAGACAATGTAATTCTTGCCTTTGAAATAATACATTCTATGAAAAGCTGTGGGAGGAGTCAAGAACAAACAGCGGCTCTGAAGATTGATATTAGTAAGGCATATGATCAAGTTGACTGGTCTTGCATAGAAGCTATAATGACAAGACTTGGGTTCTGTTCCGAGTTTATTCAGCTGATTATGATGTGTGTTACATCGGTCAGGTATCATATACTTGTTAATGGTGAAAGGGTTTGTCCTATTACTCCATCTCGTGGGTTGAGACAAGGGTGCCCTCTATCTCCATATTTGTTTCTGTTATGTTCTGAGGGGCTTTCGACTTTATTTATGCATGCAGAGGCAGTAAGGTCAATCCATGGGGATCATATTTGTCGAGCTGCTCCGAGGTTGTTTCATCTTTTATTTGCGGACGATAGTCTATTTTTCTTTAAAGCTAAAGCAGAAGAAGCTACAGCAGTTACACATATCTTAAAACAGTAGGAAGCAGCATCAGGACAGGGTGTGAATTTGCAAAAATCGGGGGTTTTTTTCAGCTCTAATGTGGAAGTCTCAGTTAAAAAGCAGATTATCAATATTTTGCAAGTCTCTCGCAGATTATCAATTATTTTGCACAGTCTCTCAACCCTTAAACCATGGCACGATACCACTAGGGCTTTCCTTCCGATCAACCCTTAAACCATGGCAGATACCTAGGGCTTCCTTCCCTAGTTGGACGAAACAAGAAGGCGGTCTTCTCCTTTCTTCGAGATAGATTGAGAAAGACCATTTCTCGATGGAGCCACAGACTCCTCTCTAAGGCGGGAAAGGAAGTAATGATTAAAACTGTAGCTCAGGCGATTCCATCATATTGCATGAGTACTTTCCTTCTCCTTACTTCCTTCTGTGACGAACTGCAAAGAATTATGAATTCTTTTTGGTGGGGTACACAGGGTCCGAGCGGTAAAGGATTCATTGGCTCTGTTGGGACCGAATGTGCATGGGAAAGACTATGGGTGGCCTTGGCTTCAGACATCTCCACTCCTTTAACATTGCCCTAGTTGGTAAATAGATTTGGCGACTTGTCACCGAGCCGAATACTCTTCTATGTTCCGTTCTCAGAGCAAAATATTTTCCGAGGGGGAATGTTTTGGATGCGCCCCTAGGGCATAATCCCAGCCTTATATGGAGGAGCATGGTCTCGGCTAAATCACTTCTCAAAAGAGGGCATAGATGGAGAATTGGCAACGGTTCAAGCGTTAACATTTGGCATGACCCGTGGTTACCAAATGATAATGATTTCTACCCACGTAGCCCTGTTGTCCCTGGTTCTGAGAACAATTTCTACCCACGTAGCCCTGTTGTCCCTGGTTCTGAGAACATGTCAGTTGGAAATCTAAGGATGTTTAATGGTTGGAATGTGGATTCAATTGCCAGACTGTTCCTTCCAGAGGAGATGTCATAGGTTCTATCCATCCTGTTTACTCAGGCTACCCATGCAGATACACTACTATGGAACTTCTCTACTTCTGGGGAATATCTTGTTAAATCAGGCTACAAACTCGTCCTGCCTAATTTTGTGGAACCTGAAGCAACTGCAACTTCGCTAATTTGGGTTAAATTATGGCAATTACATTCCCCACCAAAGGTTAAACACTGGCTGTGGCGAGTGTGTCGTAATATTCTACCAACGAAATATATACTATTTGGCAAGCGGATTACAGAGGATGACCATTGCCCTTTTTGCGGTGAAAGCGAGACAACAATGCACATGTTATTCCTTTGTGAGAAAGCTTGACTGTGTTGGACTTTAACAGGGATTCCGTTGGATGGATCAGCCACTAGTTTTAGTGATACTCTATTGGGGTTTATTGATCGGCGCAGTGATGATCACTGCTTGTTATTCGGTGCGCAGTGAATGATTCACTGCTTTTGTTAATTCGGCTGTGTTTGTATTCGGTGTGTTGTGCTACTTTATCTGGTTTGACAGAAACCGGCGGGTTTGGCAACAAACTAATATTGCTCCTTACAACATTTTCATGGCAGCTACCAGCTTTCTTGGAGAATGGAAGAACGCGCAGATTGATCGAAGCAATTCCTTTGTATCGTTGGCTTCAGTTCCGACATGGGCTCCTCCTCCTACTGGGGTTGTAAAGTGTAACGTTGATGCAGCTGTCCATATGACTGAGGGTCGTTCATCGTATGCTGGCCTTGTCCGAAATGAAGCTGGACAGTTCTTGATAGCTTACACGAGTCATTTTGCAGGGGTGCTAAAACCTCACATCGCAGAGGCCATCGGCCTTAGGGAGGTTTTATCTTGGTTGCTCACGAGATCTGTTGATAGGGTTCTGGTGGAAACAGATTGCCTGCGACTGTTTCAAGCTGTAACTACTGGTTTTGATTCTTATTCCGATTAGGCACCAGTGCTATAAGAGATGAAACAACTGTTTTCTCAAATACCATCTACTGAATTGGTTTGGGTTAGGAGGCAAGGTAAACAAGTCTGCAACATGCTCATTGCTCGCTTGTCTGTGGCATGATTTTACATCCTTGTTTCCGTCTATGAGACTCGACTCTAACTACTGGTTTTGATTCTTATTCCGATTAGGCACCAGTGCTATAAGAGATGAAACAACTGTTTTCTCAAATACCATCTACTGAATTGGTTTGGGTTAGGAGGCAAGGTAACAAGTCTGCACATGCTCTTGCTCGTGTGGCATGTTTACATCCTTGTTTCCGTCTATGAGACTCGACTCCCCAATGTATTGCAGATCTTATTTCTCATGATTTATTATGAATATATGATCTTATTTACTCTCAAAAAAAAAAAAATTGTTTTCTTCTACTATTTGGATGTTAGAGTTTATAAAGGAGTTTTTTTTTTAATTTCTTTTTAAAAAAAACTTACAACTGTTTTATGATTTATTTTGTTTATGTTGGAACAAAGATTTTTTTTTATGTATTTTTTTGTTGTTTTTATTTTACTTGTTCGTCTTTTAATGTTTTTGGGTGTTTTGAGAATATTTTTGTGATCCCTCAAAAATGGCAATGGGGAGTATTTGAAGGTGGAGTGGTGGTGACGGAACAGAAGGATGAGGATAGAGAAGGGACACTAAAAATTCCTTGGATTTTAGTTCAATTATGGGTACTTCTATTTTGCAAAAGCACTAAAAATAGATAAAAGAACTAAGGGTTAGACGGAAACAAAAATTTAAGGATGTAATATGTATTTTATGAAAAGCAGGTCCTAACGTATTTAATTAATATACAGAGACATAATAATAATTTTTCCTTTTTAATTTTGTTTTGGTACGGGGAGGGAATCGAAGTTCAATTAGTTGTTTTACCTAGTAACTCAAACTGGAACAAGGTAATTCAAATTCTATCCAAATTTTCTTTTTTTTTCTTTGTATTCACTGCTCTCCTGCTCCACGGGTCTCAATGTGGCTTCTTCTATTGGGCAGATCTCCGCCTTCGCCATTGTTTGTGAAGGTATGAAAGAAGTCAATAACTCGCTTTCTATTCCTTCTGGTATTGATTATCTGAGAATTGAAGGTTTGTTTTTTGGTTATAGCGGTAAGTTTTTTGTTGTAGCTTCGAGGGTAGTCTTGGATGAAGAAGAAGGTCTTTGCGATGGGGACTGTGTGAAGGGTCATCATATTTGCAGGCTCATAATAAGAGTATTTTAGCCTTTTTCACGCAAAATTAACTGCAAAAATATAATTTTTTGCACGATTGACCATATTATCCGATAGAGTCAAACTTTGAAGATGTCCAAATAATTTGATAAAAACACATGAACAAAGTTAATTTGGTCAAAAAAACATAGACAAAATAGTAATTCTCCCTAAATAATATGAAAATTGGGTTTCTTCAACACATTAGAATTTTAAAACTAATAATAAAAATCAAAATAAAAAACAGCTATAAATAGCCACTGCAATTTACCAGTGTGAAACTAAACGACAAGCTGATGGCTGGTAGTTCGCCGTTCCTCTTCAGCAATGGCGTCGTTTCTAACTCCCCAAGCACTCCTTCAGTCTCCACCTTCCTCGAATCAAATCCAGGAGCTTACACGACCACAAGAACTCACAATAATGCTTCATGTCTATTGTTTTGGGAATCACATCTAAAGAGACTTTCCAATTCCGCCAGAATTCTCTTCAATGCAAATCCACAACTTTTCTTCAGGTTTTACAAGCCCACCTCGCATTCATTACAATCGCCGCCACCGCCGATATGGAATTCGGCGGTCAAGGCTCTGGTTAATGATTCGATGAGGAAAGTGTTGCCAGTTGCATTGACGGAGAGGAGAAATGGAGAGGAATTTGCAATTACAGCTCTTGTTAGTGGGAATTCGGAGAAATTGAGTGAAATTGAGAATTTGAGCGGCGAAAATATGGCTCAAGTTCTTGATGTGAGCGTACATATTGGAACTTACGTTCCTCCTGTGTTTGGTGTGAGAGGAAATGGAGCAAGTTTAGCTGTGGTAGGCTATGGGAGAGATTTTGCAGAAGCTAAATATTCAGATTGGGTAAGGTCAGTTTGATTAAATTTTTAATTTTGATTCTTGACAGTATTAGTTTATGTTTCTTTTTTTGTGAATTGTGAAACTTTGATTTCCATGCAGGCTAAGGAAGCCTCTGGAGAATTTAAGGCCTCCTTCAGTGACTGAGCTTTTGTTGTCAAATGATGGTGATCAAATACTTGAAGGTTGTGTGACTAATTTTTTTGTTGTTTGTCGTAAGGTGAGTGATAAGAATGTGAAATGCTCAAATTGGTTAGCTTAAAGTAAACTACTTGAGCATGGATTAAAATAGTGTTTTAACATTCATGTTTCATATGAATGTTACAATCTAGAATTTTACAATCCTAAAACTAGGCCAATGTTTTGTCATATGGAGTCTCCTGGACCATTTCCTGTGGTTCAGCATGGATGTTACCACTGCGCTGAAAGCTTTAACCTTTATCCTTGTGGCTGCAAGCCTGAAACTTTGTCATTAAACCTAGTAATATGCTCTAAATTGAAATTCCAAAACATTGACTGGTTTTTTCTGGGGGCTTTTGAAGAGGTTGTGTTTGCTGGTTATGCATATTAAAGTGTCAGTTGACCAATGTAATAATATCCGTCAGACGTGTTAAAAAATTAAATGATTTGTAATGTAGAGTTTGTTGTTTTTACTTGGAAACATATCCCTGCTTTAGACAATGGAATTGATCGAGAGAAAGAATCAAAAAATCAGGCTGTTTATTTTGATGCTTTCAGAGTGTAACTAGACTTCATTTCTTATTTGATTTATATTGCATGTCGAACTGATAGATCACAATTACCAATTTCAGCACGTCTCAGAGATGGCATGACATTGTAGGCGGATTTAGGTGTTCTTTCATACAGTCTTGTACTTGTAGAATGGATTTGGACCCATCAAGACTGCACACTGTATGGCGTTTTGTCGCTGTTTAATTTCCTAACTACAATTTGCTCTAGTTGCTTTCAGGAAAACAATGATGTTAAGGAGGAATACTTTCATGGTGATAAAGATACATGTCCTTTTGAGGTACAAACGGCCCCTATTAGAGCAGGTGTTCTTCCTGGAATCATTCGCCAACTAGTGATCGAGTAAGTTTTTCCTCCACTTTGTACTCCATATGTGGAGGAGCTTGGCAATCTATTGATTATGTCACATATGAGTTTGGAATCGATTATTCCCATTTCTAATCAAGAATTTCCAATGTTGGAAGTGAATGTATTTGTGGCAACTCCATTTTATTTCACGTAGTGGCTGAACTGCTGAATTAAGAAATCTATTGAGTATTTCATATTATTGCCATCTAGTGGCTGAACTGCTATGATTAAATCTTCATCGTATGCAAGCATGCCATCTAAAAAAATTAGGGAATTGTGAACTTGAGCAATAGTAGTTCCATTTATGAATTCTCTCACAATTCAACTACATCCAAGCAACTATCCAACTTTGATAAAATGGGAGCAGTAATCACATAAACTGCTCTTGCATTTGTTTCTATTACAAAGTTATTTCATCACCAATTTTTCATTTTGTGTAGCGTGTGTTTAAGCATGGGAATCCCAGTGCGAGAAGTTGCACCATCATGGTCAAGGCAAGAATTCTGGCAGGAGGCATTTATTACAAGTAGGCTATTGGTTGTTTTAATACTTCTTTGACAGCAGACAGTTTTCGTTAAAGTGAAATCATCCTCTTTGTATTTAGCATCCAAAGATTTTTGAGACTTGCTTGTTACACAGATGGTTTCTAGTGTTGTAGAAATTTTCTAAACATAACTTACTAATAATTCCATAGGTCATATTGGCCAGTTTGTCAATGATAATCTGAGTCTTCATTTTGATTGTAATCTTGGCCTTGGTTAGGGGTTAAATCTTTAGATCTCATTGGGCTTTATGTTGAACTTCATTCATATGGCACTTTAATTTTTTATTTTCTTTAGAAAATGAGGATGAGAATCATTGGATTTTCAATAGTCCTTTATCTTCTTGCTTGTTAATGGTTTTACAATATGTTAAGGGTGAAGCATGTTCCTCAAGTTCTTTCGTGCCCTTAGATAGCCACCTTCTATACTTTTGGCAGTGCCCGACTTAGATGTCACCATCAGGCAATAATCATAGAAAACATATTTGCAATAAGGATGAGCAATTTAAAAAAAAGCTGCTAATGCTATATGATTACCTCACCAGTAGAACTGCTATTTTTATAAGCTCATCATCCCTCAAACGACATGCTTCTTTACCATCTTGATTTGGTGTTAAGTTTGCTTTTCATGAATGTTGATTTTTTCATGAATATTGCCATTTACTGATTGTTGGCTCAAATAAAGTTCTTGTTACCATCGAGTTTGGGTCATGTTGCAGATAGCTTGAGAATAATGCAGCATGTTGAGAAAATTCAAGTCCCACGTTCATGGGAATCAATAGAACAAGAAACTCTAAAAGAGATTTCTTGGGAGGTGAAGTCTTTTGGGGTGAGTAAATATCTAATAGCATTAATGAATAAATGGCTATCACTATCTATCATGTTACAATCATTCATTCCTGCTTTTCTTTATTAAGATTTTATTTTATTTTTTTACCTTAATAGGAGGATCCTGGGATGATTACAGCAGCTATCCAGGTAAATGTTGTGAAGTCCATCTAAATTCTTTTCCGTGTAATGGCTGCACCTCTAAGACCATTTTGAAAAGAATAAGGGAAAAAAGAGAAGGCAATTTTTGGATACCATGATATATTTTCCCTTCATTATTCATATTTAGATTACATATAATAAGGAAATTACTGATTACAGACACCTCTCTTGCTTCTTTTTACCAGAAAGAGATTATGGAGAAGGCAGGTCTTCAAGGGTATCCCATGCTCGCTTTGCATGACAAATGAAGGGCTGTAGCTTTTGGAACCACTTCAGTTGTTAAGGTGGAAAAAAGAAATGGTGTGTTATACTTGTTTTGTGCTGTGAATCTGAAGATTCGCCCCAATGTTTTGCAGCTTTTTAAGCTTTTCATGCTTCATGGGCTCAAAATGTACGAATGGTTATGACATAATGTTGATGATTAGATTGTACATGTGGGTTTTAGTTTTGCCAAATTTTGCTCCCACAAAATTTGAGATGTTCGGATTGAGAGGTTAAGGCTATGTTTGGTTTGAAATGTTTTGGATGCTGAGATTTTGAATAATCTATGTAATTTCTGTCTGGCACAATAAAAAAGGATACCCTTTAATTTTGGTAATATTGCAAACATCTCTACTATAATATTGCAAAAGTTGAGGGTACAACATGAATTTTTTTTATATAATGCATGGCACAATAAAAAAGGATATGATCAAATATGAGCTGGGATTCTTGAATCTTTGCTGATACCTGACTCAAAGCTCAACTGGCCTTGTTAGAACTCTTTTTCAAAGCTCATCAAACTTACTATATGACAATGGTAACACTTGGTTCAGCAGCAGTTTGACTCCAGCCTCCTTTACTAGTGAATCTTGGTTTTTTCCTGTCTTCCAAACTGTAGCCAACATATTGTGGGAATTTAACAACTTCTTTCCAATAATCCAATGGTCAAAAAGAATTCCCGCTTTGTTATCAAATCCTCTGCCGAAAGATCCATCTTATTATGAAAACTCTATAAGGAGTGCTGGAATCATGTCTTGCTGACTCCTAGAAACCAATTAATAAGTACCTATTTTTAATATTCAGATATGTTATTTAATTTAAAACTTTAAAATAATTATTACATTTTATTACTTAAATAAAAAAAATTATATTACTATTTACTTAATAAATATTAAAATAAGACTCTTTTTTTTTTTTTTTTTTTTTTAAATATTCAGATATGTTTATTTTAATTTAAAACTTTAAAATAATTATTACATTTTATTACTTTAAAATAAAAAAAAATTATATTACTATTTACTTAATAAATATTTAAAATAAAGACCCTCTTTTTTTTTTTTTTTTTTTTTTGAAAAGAAATAATGTGAGACTCCAAGTGTAATTGAAGTATTCTGCATTAATTAACAACGAAATTGACATTTAAAAATCTTTATTTTTTCAATCAATAAAATTAAAAATCTTTAAAGATATTATAGCCTTATCATATTTAATATATACGAAATAATATAATTTCTTATTTATCCAATAGAATTTAGATATAAATAGAAAATTAGTATGACCACCAATCAAAATTAAATTACCTTTATTTGTTCAACCAATAAAATTAAAATCCTCAATGATATTATATTTTTACCATATTTAATATATACCTTATGTAGTATGTAATATAATTTCTTAATTCATCCAATAGAATTTAAATTTAAATGGAAAATTAATATAACTAATAAAAAAATTACCATTAATTTTTAATTAATAAAATTAAAATCTTTAATAATATTTTTGTCAATCTATAAACTTAGTAAGGGTGTTTTTGACCATCATAATGTTCCTCCTCCTCATTCATACTCATATATATATATATATATATATACTTTAAATAAAATTTAAAAATTATTTCATCCAATAATTAAAATTTTAAATTTTAAATTTTTGACATTTAATTTTCAGTTTTAGCAAAAACATCTAAATCAGAATAATTATAAGAGTGACTTCTGAAATCAAATTCGAGAAGGTTCTATTAGGAAGCTGAAAGCAAAATGTGTATATCAATCAAATTCAAACTTCACCTAATTTTAAAGCAACTTCAAACAAGAAGGCAAAAGAAAAAATATAGTATTTAAAATAACTAAAGAATTGTTACCTTTAACCACCCTAAGAACATTACTTTGCCCTAATCCCTGTTCAATGACGAACCATTTAAAAAAAAAACAGACATTTATATTTAATTAAACCTAACAAAATTGTACAAAAAAAGAAAAAAAAAGAAAAAAAATACATTACAGGGATTGTGCTATGAATCCATTGATTCTATATGACTTATTACTATCTTTTTTTCATTTTATTTGAACATAGGATCGAAATTCAATTAGCGGGATTTTTTGCCGTTACAATAAGAATTGCTTACTTATGTCATAATATGAGATAAAAGTTAGGAATCAACCTATGTAACAGAGTTAATCTCCTAAAGTATTGAGCAGCGTTGTAGCAAATCCTAGAGAGAATAAGTATTTCTTGTGAGGAAAAATATTTTTCAAATATTCTACATATATTTATATATAAAAATAGAAATAGAAAACTACAATAATTACATTTTTAAAAAAAATTCTAATGATAGTATAAAGTATACGCTTTATTCTTTTGAAAGGTGAGAGAAAAGATAAAACTAATTATTAATCATAATTCAAGTTTAAAACTCATTTCTATAATCCGACAAATATCTCTCAAAAAATTATGAGATTTTCTTCTATTAAGAAAAATATTTTTGGAGATAATTATAATTGTTTAAATTTTATCATTTTTTACATTTTGCATCTCAATTTTATATTTTTCAAAAACATATTTGAATGTATGCATTTTTTTTCAATTAGATGCATTTGATACGAGTTTTTTATTTGAATATTTAAATGCAAATTCTATTGAAAAAATAATTTTTTTATAAAAAAGAGAAAATGATAAATATTATTTGTTTCATCATATTAATTTATATAAATTTTTTAATCACACTTAATTTCTTTCAAGTATTATGTATTTTTTTTAACTTTCTTTACTATTTTTTCATTTTTTGTAGAAACAATTATATTATTGAGTAGATTTCTGTACTTATTTATACATGAAATATAATATATCACCAATAAAATAATTTTTAAAAATAATTTTGAATATAACAATAACATAATTTTAACTTATAGTAAATAGTTTATATATAATAAGCCCGCATAACTTGAGAAAATACAACTAGTCTCGATATAAATTAAATTCATCTAAAGAAGTATCTAAAAAGTAAAGATATTAACACTTCATTTGGACGAGGGAAGAAAGAAAATAAATATGACATCCCGACTCGTTAAAGCGATCCTAAGAGGGCGGGATATAAGCATGGCCAAATTACGGTTTCGGGAATCGGAACTGTCGGTTCGAACCGGTCCGGAACCGGAACCGGTGAGAACCGGAACCGGGACGAACCGAAACCGGAACCGGAAATTTTGGTTCGGTTTCGGTTCCAGAAAATTAGAAACCAGAACCGGCGGTTCCAGAGAACCGGTCGGAACTGGACTGGAACCGCCGGTTCTCCGGCCGGTTTAAGACTGCGGCGATATAGAGGCATAGGGCACAAATTACGGTTCCGTGTGGAATCCTGCGAACTGTTGGTCGAAACCGGTTGCGATTACCGGGCAAGCGTCACTCTTTGGCGTGATAACCGCAACCACGGTGGGTAGACAACAGGAATATCGAACGCTTTTGGAAATTTGTGCGGTCTCTGGTTCTGAAAATCTAGCAACTAACTCCTAGGCAACGGTCGGTTCCTATGAGAGACCGGTCGTGCTTGCTTTTTCAAACTCGTCTTGACGGAACCGTGCTGCGACGTTCTTGACGCCCGGTTTAGAAGCCGCCCGGTATCGTATAGCGTCGAGACCGGCGCGCGGCAACCAATAGCCGTATACATCATTGCCAGAAATCGATCAATCTCTCAAAAGAAAATCACCACCAACGTCCCCCATTACTGTCGGCTCAATTGGATTAAGCGAAAGTTGGTGTTATCAGCCAAAAATAAAAAAAGCTAATACCGTCGTGGGGGAACCCCCCTTGCCTACCTTCTCCCTTTCCTCATCTCTTCTTATTGAGAATTATAATTCATTGGTTCCCTTTCCTAGTGCGTCTAAAACTCTCTGTCAGTCTGCTGTTCCTTGTCTTGTTTTCATTTTTTATTTTTTATTACTTACATTTGTGAAACGGTTAATTCACCACATCGTGCATTAACACAATCTAGACAACGCACGTATCTGAAGGGTATTCCGTTTGGAAAAAGAGAATTTTTTTGAAATTTATTGAATACATACGTTAATTTCACTCTTACAATCATTCATAAGAACAATTTTAAAACAATTATGTTCAAACTTTTTTTAAACAAACAAAATAAATTCCGTTGAAGAAGTATTACTTAAAAAAAACTACAATATATTCAGGTCTTCTAAAAAAAACTAAACGTTTAATCCGAAAGAATCATTTTATTTTTAGTTATTTTATTTCTGAGAGATAACTTTTCACAAATTTGTAAAATTTTGAAAACCGGTCTTCAAAAATTAACATTAAAATACTGTGATTCGGCTCGAAAATCGACTCTTCTCTTCCCGCTGTCCAACCGTGTCGGTTCTTGTCACCGGACCGAACCTTCGTCTCGGTTTCCATACTTTTTTTGAACGGTTGAAAACCGGTCTTCAAAATTTAAAATTTAAAATTATGTGATTCGCCGGAAAATCGATCGGAACCGTCGGTTTTGTCACCGGACCGGAACCGTCCGGTTCCAGTTTTTTTGGAACCGGAACCGGCGGTTCCGGAACCGTGGCCACCCTTAGCGGGATAGAGCAAAGCTCCTAGTTAGCTTCTGAGATGACAGGCTAGTTATGGGTAGTGGAATGCAGGACACAGAAATGAATCGGATTATATATTGTAAATGGAAAAACTAATCATTAGATGTGCCTTTTGGTGAAATGGCTTGGAGAATTAGAAAAATTTCAGGATTAAGCATGCTTGTTTAACAGAAATCCTAATATGGGTGACAACCTGGAAGTTCTCCATTTCACCTAAAGGATAAAACCGTGCAGGCCTTACGAATCCAGTATGCAATTGAATTGACTTGATCCAAAGCAGAGTCGTGAAGGGGTGAGCAAATTGCGGATATAACCAAAATTGCTAATAGATTAATTTTGGTTTGGATCGGTAGTTATAAATATTAATTTGGTTGTTTTGGTTATAGTGCGATTAATCTGAAAAAACCTTTGTTAATCCAAATTAACCATATTATTAGTAAAGATATTTTTTTATCTCAGATTTTTTTTTCTCAAAACATTGGTTTTTTTTTTTTTTACCCCATATTAAATAAAACTAAGAATTCAAACTATATTTGCATAGTTTTTGTAACAGGTAACAACAATATGGTATAACTTTTGAGATCATTGATAAAGAAGGTCATGTTTACTTGGTTATTAACTGTAATTTTGTAACTGAAAAGTTTTAATGTAAATTATATTAATTGTTGTTTGGATAGCTGGATTTAGATAGGACTGCCTTTATGATTTTTATTTGGATACTTGTGACTTTTGAATTAATTAATTATTT